TAGGGCTTAGGGCTTAGGGTTGAGGTCTCAGAGAAACCAAGGAAACCAGGTACAAAGCTCTCTGAAAGGCTTATTACCAATCTTGGACTGCAGTGGACGGGTAAGAAATATTGCCCCTCAGAGTCCCTGATTCCATCTTCTTAAATGCCACGAAACCGTGGTCTTAGCATTAAGGCCCCCGTACTAAGGAGGGATGAACGGCGACGGGGACATCGAGCCTGCCACGTAGCGCCTGTTGCCGCTCTTGAGGCATTCCAGGGCCTGGCATGGTTCCGTGGAGGGCCATGAAAGGCTTAGGGTTTAAAGGGTTTAGGTCTTAGGGTTAGCCTTCTAAGACTTATAAGCCCTAAACCTAGGGCCTGTTTTAGGGCAGCCCTGCGCGCTCTGTGCATGCGCGCTTTGGCGCCAACTCGACAAACAATTTCCGCAACTTTCTGTGCACGAGCACATACTTCCAGTGAGGTCTGTTAGTGGGGTTGCGGTGTGGTTGAAGCTTTCAGGGAATAAGTGCTTGGTTTGTATTTCCATCCAATATGGGAACTGCATGCCTCTGCGACGCCCTTGATATACTATACGGTCTTTGAAGGAGCTTGCGAAAACTACGGAGTGCATTGGTGCTGAAGGGAGCTCTTGGAAGATTTGTACTGTGGTTTTGTACTGTGAGTAAAGAAGTGTGGTCGAGGGTCTTTCGGGTGAGTTAGCTTTTCGGTAAACCTCCTCGTTCGGAATCCTAGAATAGAAAGAGGCCTTGATACCTACGATCCTGCGTAGAAATCTGAACCGGAAGCCATCTATTCTTTTAAGGTGCTTCTAACAAGAACCTACAAACAAGTAGGTCATTGCAGTTAAAGATTGAAGCCCTAAAACCAACCTGGCGAAAGCTAGAAGCAGAGTAAGGGTCCGGGATGTGCGGCCGAAGCGTACCATTCGCACGACTCGACTGGCTCGCCAACCGTGGTGGTAGCCGGTGAGCCGGTTGCAACGTCTTTGACCACGGCTGGCACAGAGCCGGCCTGTCCCCAATGCCGACGCGGCGTCGCGGCTGCCTGTGCGTCCCAGCGGGTCAACCTTCCCCTCGCCCAGCCGTGGTTTCGAAGTTCGGCGAGCTCCATTTGCTCATCGAGGCTGACATCGCTGCGAGAAGAGCTGTCCACAGAAGGAGCAGTTGCCAGGGTTGCCATTGCCTCGTGCGGGCGAAGACGTGGAGTGGTCAAAATGCCCACTGGCATCAAACCTGTTTCTGGCTTTTGGCGCCGCGGTCAACATACAAAGCCACGCAACTCTGCATCACTACCAAGAGTCCTAACAGCGACCCTATGAGTATGGTGGACCTATATAGGGCTTAGGATTTAAGGTTCAGGGTTTAGGGTCCCTAAACCGAAACCCCTAGCGCTGACATGCATAATTTGGATAATGGCGGATGATCAAGTGCATTTAGCATGCCTCTGCAAGAAGCCCATCACACTACCCTAACATAAGAATGCTGACCGGTGCTGTTTTCGTTGGGGCTTCTGTTCAAAGAGCGTTATTTTTATAAACCTCCCCATCAGAAACAAACACCTACTCCAATACTGTAACATATCCCCAAACCTCTTTTGATTGTCAAGACCCCTTAGTTGGACCAGGTTTGACCCAAAGGCAGGATCTCAGAGTAAACGTCTCTGATAATGCGAAAATCGGAAGCCATGACCCTTCAACCCACTCGAAGTATGGCTTAGGATTGAACATGTTCGCAGTTCAGGCTTCGAAATACGACACTAAGGTGGTCCACAGATGAACTTTCCCTTCTCGCGGACAGGTTCGAGAAAAGACAAAACAACCTAATTACTCTCCCCGTCGTAGCTGTTCGTAGCAAACTTGTCAACCGGGCGGAGAACTTCAAGGAAGCAGCAACAACAATTGTCTTCAATGAGTCGTGTAACCAGTGGTATGGATCCGGTGAGATAAGCGTCACTGTCATCTCTACAGTCACCATCATCACATTCAGCAACACCGGCATCATCAGCATCACCCGCGCGAGCCGGTCGTGGTCGGTCGTGGCCAGGACGTGCTTGAAGTCGCGATTTGGGTCGAGGTCGTCGTCATCGCCGTCATCATTATCACCAAATACCACCACCACCACCACCACCACCAGCACCAGCACCAGCACCAGCAACAGCACCAGCACCAGCACCAGCAACAGCAACAGCACCAGCACCAACACCAGCACCATCACCATCACCATCATCATCATCATCAGCATCAGCATCATCATCATCATCATCATCGCCACCACTGTGACCACCATCATTATATGTGTTCGCTGGTCGCTTTTTGCGACTGCTGATGATCTACCGCGAGCTCCTGCCTTCTGCGGGGCCACAGCTGAATCTGCAGCAGTGCGAACCGTGGCCGGCGCGGCCTCCTAGTCATGTTCGGATGCTGCGGGCTTGAATCATTGGCTTTCGGGGGTGTGAAAGCTTCTGACCTGCTTGACAAGCGCCTACTGCTATTTTGCGAATGAAGTTCCGAACAAGTGGGTTGAGGTGTGCGACTCAGGTGTGCTAGGTGTTGCTGTGTTTCCAAGTTGGAGATCTAAGCTTGGCCCTTTACTTTGGAGGGAGCGCCGATGCTACTCATACCTCCGCCCCTCTCCAAAAGCTATATAGGGGCCTATATAATCTAAAAACTATTTTGGGGGGCTCCTTGTTCTAATTGTAGTACAATATCCCCAAAAACCCTATTCTAATTGTAGAATTCCAGATTGTGTAGCATG